TTTTTTTTCTCTCCCTCTCCAACTTCGACCTATATATATATATATATATATATATATATTTCTTCTTTAAATTAATTCGAGGACTTGTAAGCGTCAATGTCGTCGTTTGGAACGAAGATTTAACGAGGAGTAATCATTCGAGTTTTTCATCTAGCACAATGACAGCGAAATTATTACAACGTCCAGCTGGATGATGGACTACTACTAGATCGTCTGGAAACGCATCGACGATTCGAAAAGTCTATTCCGGTCGGTTTATTCTTAACAGATATCCCATTTCTGCATTGCCGCGTATTTTTAACCGTGGCCCACATCCGAGCTCGTTGATTATTTCCTCGCGTAATCGAATAGCCTCGTCTTCTTCTCGTTTCGTGACGTTCATCGGCGAGAAATAAAAAAAAAAAAAAAAAAAAAAAAAAAAAAGAGGAGGACGAAAGAGAAAGAGCATTTCTCTTTCTTCGTTCACGAAAGCTATGCGGCCACTTTGCATGTCATTTCGTCGCGTTTCCCTTTCCTCGAATGCTCCGGTAATTCTTTTTAACGATCTTACTGACCGGCGCCGCGATTAAAATTTATCACCGTAATAACGTTACACCCTGAGAGGAAAAAAATACAGACAGCACGTTGCTAGCGTAAATATTCATAAATACCCTCGCTCTATTTGCTACCACCGCAGCCATTAAGGTCCCAGCCTTTTAAGACGTGTGATAAGCTTAGCGCGGAATGATTGGTCGGCCGTAAGTGAATCTGTTATTTATATTTCTATTAGTGCACCTATTCAACGTAAATTTCTCTACGTTACGTCAAACGAAAGGAAAAGTGTAATTTTATGGACCAGTAGATCAGAAATTCTATCCTCTTAATGCTCAAAATAAATCCTCGAGCAAAATTCACTTACTTAAAAATCGATTTTACATCTCTCATAATTGCGTCAAAGATTTTCTATAAAATCTTTTGTCATCCTTCCTAGAGCTTTTTCTCGAAAAAGAGAGATGTACCAGCCTCAAGTTCGTCCTCAAGATCCCTCCAAAGCAGAGAGAGAACGGTACATACGCGATTAGACACGCTATCGAATTCGTCGGCGTGCGGTGGCGTAGCGGGACAGCTTCCATTACGTCTTCATGAATCGAAGGACGCGAAATGGAATGGAAAAATGGCGGTTGGGATCGTGACAGCTCAACTCCTCTTCCTGGACGGGCGAGGAGGAGGATTCAGGCTGTTGAGCCACGATGCCACCGCCGATGGAAACCGTGCGAAGAGGCGCGAGGTGAAATCCGGTCCATTGTCATGTGGCCGAGGATCACGTAAGGTCACACACTCTCCGAGCCCTACGTGGAAACAACAAAGGCGTCAAGTTTCGTAACGAGCGACAGAGTGTCGGTTTTATTGTTAGAAAACGGACTGGCTCTTCGTCCGGAGGAGCACACCGTTTCGGTTTAGTCATCCGTGGCCTCGATCCTCCAGACGTCGTATCCCACGATCCGTTGCCACGCTGATAAGACGGTTGCGTGAGAATCTTGGGGAATGTGTTTTAGGCATTGGCTCGTTAATTCGTGTTGATTCGTTTTTAAATATACAGCCTTGTGGACTTTTGAATTTATCAATACGATATATCTCTGTCTCTGCATTTCTGTTATAAATTCTGAATTCCAGAAATATCTTTCTGATTAATCCTTTTCACTGTCAATTAAATTAATACAATAGATATGTTATTATATCTTGGGTTGGGAATGTAAATGTACATAAAATTTGTGAAGATGTATGAAGTTATATCTTCGAGACAAAGATTGTAGAATGTTTGTTTCTTTTGTTAGAATTTTGTATATGTTATAAGATTTTGAGCAACTTTTTCCTATTTGTATAACCGGAAATCACTTTTAATTTATTTATTTACAAAAGAGAGTTCTGCTAAATTTGTAAACACGCGCGTTTACGCAACTCTCCTTTCTCTTTTCTTCTTCTTCGTACGTATCTCTTGCGTATACAATTTACCGAGTACAATCACTTGGAATGAGTTTTGTAAAAAAAAACACGGAAAACGACGGGATCGACATTTCTATTTGAACGATTATATAAATCGGATCGGTTTACATTAATTAGAGAGAATTAAAATTTAAATCTGATTAAAAGCGCGTGTTCGAAAAAGAAAAAGAATATGAATTTTTATGCAAAGAAATTCATGTAACTTGGTGGAGACTATAGTTTTTCCTCTTACGCATGCCGGAAGAATCATTCATCTTCCACAGCTTACGTACGGTGTCACAGTCGATTGCGAGAGATCGTAGGTAAAAGCAGCCGAGCTCGGAACGCTTTCTACAATTAATTACAACGCACGATAGCGTCCTCTACGGTGGTCCTTAATTTGTCGCTACATCAAACGCAAATTGATTATCAACTGGTGCCACTGGTGGCCGCTAAACATTCGCCACGAGTCGTTAATCTCGCACGAAACGTTTCTCCTCATTCTCGAACCGAGTCCGACCACCGTACGTATCATGAGTCACGTCTCCTCTGAATCGCGTCATTAGTTCGTTGTAATCTTCCACCAGTCTCCCTCCCCCTCTCTCTCTCTTGCAAATAAAATAAGAAAAGATAGAGAGAGAAAGAAAAAAATAAGTTAAACTTCGAATTAATCGAGTGTAAATTTATCGAGATCTAGACTCTGATTCCTCGATCCAGGATCCATCCTCGGAACGAATATCGCCATATTGGCGAGTGAGAGAAAGAATGGAAGGAGAGGGTTCTTTTGCTTGCTTATGACCTGCACGGTTGTTACTTATGCAAATGGGATGCGCGATTAAGGTCGCGTTTCGTAACTTTCCCTTTAATTAAGGGCACAAGGTTTGCAATTCTCGCTCACCTCGCGCTCTCGTTGATTCCTCGCAGGGTGGCGGCGATGATTCGGACGAAGATACACAGTGCGCCCTCAGCGAGAATTGGACATTCGAGAAGAAAACGAGGCGCTGGTCCCGCGTGTGCGACATGACGCAAGCGAACGTGGAGAGGTTGCAGGCGATCAGCAGCGGGCAGACGGTGCAATCCGAGGAGGATTCCCTGGAGGATCGGTTGGAGGCGGAGGAGGCCGAGGACACGATGCTGGACACGCTCAGATACAGCAGCCTGCCGCCTGGCACGCTTCCCGACGAGATCGGGCCGAGATTTCGGAGAACCGGGTCCGAGAGGCTGAGGGATGGGGCGAAAGCTTTCCTGAGGCGGGTCGAGTCGTTGAAGTCCCGGCGACGGAAGCACCAAAATCGGGACGGGATAGTGATCAGCGGCCCCCAAATACTGGACGTGATCTCGATGCAGCAGAAGATGAAGGAGCTGAACTGCGTGGACGTGTCGCCGACGGGCCCCTCGCCGGTCTCGTTCAACGATCTTCTGCCGGGCT